TGGTGGTGGTGGTGGTGGTGGTGGTGGTGGTGGTGGTGGTGGTGGTGTGGTGGTGTGTTGATTCCACTTCGACTTCAAGTGTTGCCAGTGTTGCAATTGCAATAGATTCAGGAAGAAGTGTTTGCAACCTCGCCCCCAAACATTGCAAACACTTGTTGCACTGGTCCTTGAAAACCATACCTGTCAAACACTTGTCGGCCCACCAAGCCCGGCTAATTAGAAAACTTAACATTCAAAGGGGTCACCAACGGAAGCCCCTACACTACGCGATCTCCATTGGGCACCCTTGGGAAGCGCTAGAGGTATTATATATATATATATATACCTGGACCCTCCTGTCGGGGTGCCCTGTCTGGAAGCCTAGGCCGGTAGTGTGAGGTAGTCCTTAGTCATACCGATCGGATATCCGTTGCTTTGAACCCAAAGGACCCTGCCTCGTGACCTACGCGCAGGTCCTCGGTTGGGCCCTGCGCAGCGTGCTGCAGCGCAAGGGCCATGACCTGCAAAGGGGGGCGCGGGACGAGCAACGAGGTGCCGAGTGCAGTGGGACGAGGGGAGGAGAGATCCAAGGAGTTTCTACCAGCTTCAGTCGAAAAGTTTGGTTGGCTGTTCATCGACCATGTTGGACGTTGTTGATTTCAATATTATTGCAGATACTCGCAGCGGCCTTGAAGCTCCTAGGATGGATGGAAGATCTCAAGGGAAGAAGTGACCCTTTCAAAGAAGCTGGGCATGTTGATCATCGCAGTCTAGCGCGCTAGAACCGTACACAGGACCCTGGTGCGGGGACCCTCACCACCACTTTGTCTCGAGTTCCAGAATGTACAGGTTGGGAAGCAGATATACATATCAACCAATTATGATGGTCATCAATCCATATCAAGCCCAACCAGTGTTGGTTTCGGGCTGAAGCAAACCAGACAAGTCTATGGTTGCCACATTGATATACATGCATAGAACGGGCTTCTGAAGTTGTTTCGTTCTATGCAGCACGTTGCATGGATCGGATGGACGCATTTCACCGGTCCGTTCGGTCAGGCTTCGCTCCCCAGCGGTCGGGCCAGGCGGGCGAGGGGAAAGATGAACGATGGAAAGAGGGGTGTGAATGATCTAAGACGAGGGGCGGCCTCAGATGTGTTTTCCTCCTGAAAAAGGTGCAGGAACTTCCACTCTACGTAGCTCTTGTTCACCTTTTTGCAGCCTCCAGTTTGGGGTGTTGAGTGGTTAGGTGTTCATGGGTTTTCTCCGCGTCCAACAAGCCAAGGGATTCTTTGTTTTTTTCCCGTTTTCTAGGGATCAAGGTCGTTTTCTTCCTTGCAGAGGAATTCCAGAAGCGTTCGTTCTTTTAGTTCAAGCACATTTGCAGCGACATGTTTATGTCTTCTCCCATGGCAGAGGCTGCCCAGGTGATTTTTTAATGATACGGCGACCACCGAGATCTACACGCTGGTAACGTTCAACTGGTTGATAATGGTGCATGGTGCACCAGCACTTCGTGCCTAGTTAGGTACCTTCCAGCAGGATTGAAAATAGTAAGGCTATGTGATGTGCATATCCCTAGGGATCCAAGGTAATTAGACCCTCCACACCTACATAACAGTGTCTCCAATCACCTAAGAAGGTGTTTGGATCCCTAGGGCCTAGGGTATGATGACACTCTTCATTTTGGGTGTGTCTTGCATCCTGCTACACGGCTTCATCCCCCGCCAGGAGGTGTCTCAGAGCGGCGATCCGCGCTCTGCGTGGACGACCGGGTGGCTTGGGCGATTCGCCGTGGTGGGGGCGATCCACATGGGCCAAATTAATGGAAACAACTAACTGCTAGCAGCACTGCTAGCAGCTTTTTGTTGGGCTATTCTATTTGTTTGTCTCTATACTTGTTTGGTTGATATATTACTATATTCTTCCAACGAACGTCAAACACACATGTTGGCTTTGTCAAGGTTGTGTCAAGGTGGTTGTCAATTTTTAAAAGGCCTGCAACCGAACCATCATCATCCAAAACGGGCCCTAGATAGATCGGATAGATGTTAGACCCGGGAAGATGGACCTGAGCAACATGATTGTCCTTTACAACCCGACGTGGCTTTCAGGTTCCATGTTAGCTTTCTGGAGTGTACACGATTTTACCAAAACCAAAAAACGTTAACGTCGAGCCATGTCGGTAGAGCCGTGCCGTTTGATCGGTTGCTTTGCTTAAAAGAAACGGTGGCTGGCAGGACAATCAAGAAGGTATGGTCCAGCCGTTAGACCTTTTGTACATTTATATACTTCAAAGCACACCGGAGGTAGAACAACTGGAACCTATACCAAAAATGCTGTTTCTACAGCAGAGTGCGCCATTGGATGAAGTAGATCTGGTTGGTGTTTCACCTTCACAGGTGGTTTGTTTGAACATGTTCAGTTCGATAGACGCAAGGCGCTCTCAATTCATGGTGAAGTGTTGCTCTTGGCACGAAAGGTTCACCTTTTTCAGTATGAAGCAAGCATGGCAACAGGTAGCGCAGGTCGTTCCCCGCACAAGCACAAGCACGCATTCCGACTTCAGCTGACTGGGTTCCGTTCGGGAGGTCGGGAGGTCGGGAGCTGGGGTGTGAAAAGGTCCTACATTCTTTTGCACTGCAGCCGCTCTGCAGCCCTTCAGACATACTAGCCAATGGAAATCTATGATCCAGATGAAAGGTGTATATTCAGAATTCCATTTATGGATGGTCTTGTCACCGATGATCATCTATGGGACCCATGTTTGCCTTATAGTTTGAACGTCCAGAGACTATAGAATAGAACAACGGTTAGTGCCCAAAAAACGCGGCGTTCCGAACAACGGATCGTTAGCTTCCTATACCGGGTCCAGGTACTGGATGTTGAACGGTCCAGGTGAGGAAGAAGCTAGACTAATGGGGGATCTGGGGCCGACACGTTCGGATGGTCCTGCACGACATCGTCGAACACCGAAGCGGAGTGAAAACCACCTGTTTGGTCGGAACATGGTCATCCGAAGAAAAGGGGCAGCTGCTATCCACGTACCCATGCATGATTTCATGGGTGTATGGGTGTGTGTCTAAGAGTCTAAAACATTCTAAACCCTAGGGCTCCAACCATATCCTCAGAAGATGGTTAGACCCCCCTGGCACCCACCCCAACCATCTTCTCAGGAGGTGGTTGGAGCCCTAGGGAAAATACCACAACCTGTTTGAGCCACACCCAAGTGGTGAAAACGTTTGAGCGTTTTGGGTTCTGGCTGGTCCCCGGCTTCCGTGTCCGAGGGCGCCAACTGCATCGGACGGAGGCCGATGGGGCACCTGATGCGGCGTTGGGCGTGGGAGTGGGTGGAACGCATTCAGGATGATATCTTGGCATCGTTTTTTCTTGCAAAAGACCATGTTGTTTTCAGCCATCACCAGGGCATACCACCGGACTTGTGAAGTTGTATTAATTATTCAACCATGGACCTAATCTTCCAGGGGACGAAAGTATAGTTTAGCTTGGATTCTGGTGCTGTTCTTTTTGGAGTTGTAGATGGTCATGAATCATGAATCATCCATATCCCCACTGCCACGTATGTGTACGTTTGGGTGAGCCATACCCGGTTGACATGTTCCCAGTCTCCTCAGTTTCCGCTCCGTTCTCTCCAGCCGCGGAAACGGAACGCAAGACTCGGTGGCCCCGGTTGGACGTGTGTTGCAACCACCTCCGGGGTCTGTGGCCAAAGCCAGGGAATCACACTCTGACTCAGGACTGGATCTCAGAATTTGAGTGAATCTTTGGGATCCAGGTGGAGTCAGGTACGTTTGGCCCAAGGCAGTGATAGACAACCAGTTGCAAAATTTGAAGAAATCTGAAGAATGAAAGCTCACCAAAAGTCTCTGGTAATCCACGAAGGGTTGCAACTCCTCCATCCACGGTGGAGTCAGGAGATGCCGAGAGGAGTTTGGAGGAGAGATGTTTGGTTTATCGCGTGTTCCGGGGATTGGGGCTGGAGCTTGTGCCAACACGCGTAAACAGTTAAGCATGCCTGATGTTCAGCAGCAGGCAGCACGCTAAAATAAATTGATGGAATTTGATGGGATAATGAGTCGAGCTTTAGGCGTTCAATGGATTTTTTTATTATGAAAGCCCAAGCTCAGACATGCGAGGCTCCGCAATGGATTGTTAATGGACGCCGCGCCTTATAGGGATCCTTTGGGGGGCCGTGGTATAGTCAGTGATTATTCAGTTGACGCGTTCACAAGTCACCAGGCCGTTTCTCTCTTGAGATGTCTCTAAGGTACTCAAGTGATCTAGGGTGATAAGGGCTGCTAACTCCGGCAGCTGGGCTTTGCATGTTCACTGAAATCAGAGGCAGTCCAACTGGACAATCCCAATTCTGGGCAAGGCATCTATCCGTTCTCACACCATGGGACTGGCATAGTGACCTGCATTGGGGGGTGGTTTCAGGTTTCAATGTATAGGCAGATATTCCAGTCCCATACCCAAACCATCCACGTTGTTAATATATTTACAATTGACCTGTGACCCATCTTAAAACCATCCCCAAGTAATGTAGGCAGATATTCCTGTCGTTTTTGGGATCCAAGGCCACAGGACCGAGGCCCGGACCAGCCGCTCGGCAGCGAGGACACGGTGCGAGAGCATTTGGCCGCTGCAACCAACCAACTGGTTGATGAGGCAGCGAGCAGTGTCACCCGAGCTGCAGGGTCGCGCTACGCATTTTGTGTTTTGAGCTGCGGTTCAACCATCCTTTTTGGAAGTACGTACTTTTTGGACGTGAACTCCCTAATTGCATAATTAAGCCAGAACTACCCTTTGTACTCTTCAGATGTCGTCTCTTGTTTTTTTCTTGCAACAGACAATAATTATATACTATTGGAGGGGTTCTGGGGATTGAGCCACGGCAAACAAAGTGCTCCAACATGTAAAGTCCCATCGATTTTGTGAAAGATCCTTTTCCGCATACCTTTCATGCTTTGTGCTTTTCGCGCATGTGGTCTTCGCTCAAATATATATGTACTATGTCCTTTCACCTACCAGAGCTGTACACATTGTGACTGGATTGGCTGTGCGCTGTGCCTACCACTTTTCCACACCGCGTCCCACCGTCTTAAAACGCCCGCGTTTTCCTCCGGCACGGCCGGGCACGCGGAACGCTTCCTCCCGGTGCTTCGCTTCCGGAACCGCCAGGGCTTGCAGGAGGCCGGAGGCACGTGGACCAAGGAGATGGCGCCCGTGAAGGAGGCGCTCGGACCGAAGCGACGGTGGCCACCCGGTGGCGAAGCGAAGCGACCGGGAGGGCGCTTTCTATAGGGGATGGTTGAAAGGGGGGGGTCAAATGCCATGTCGGAGTGTATTGGGATTTGCTGCGCAGGTGTCAGTCATCCCCTCTCAACAAAATTGACTTGCTGTATCACCTATCAGCAGCATGTGCGCAACTGCTTTTGGGGTGTGCAACCACCTGCGCAACCGCGGGTGCTCCGTCGCGCAGTTGCCGTGCTCCTCGCAGAAAAACACGCCGGCATCGACGCAGGCCCTTTTGGAGGAGTTCATGATGGTCACCGATGCACTCATGGAAGCCTTGGCCGGCTTCTCACAGGGAATTGTTTTTTTTGTTTCCATGAATGTAGCCAAACCTCATGAACTACACTCTGACTCACAAACCGAAGTGGATGGCATGGTTTCTTGGAAGACTGCTTTTCCTCTAGAGCCAGCGCGGTTTTGCACACTTCTAGAAGTCCATGTCGCCCTTTTCATGCACTCCGTTTTCACATGTTTTCACACACCGACCCCTCCGGAGGTGTCCGGATCCGTCTGGATCACGTTCGCCCCCGGTTCGCCCTGGCGTTCGCCCCTGTGGTGTTCGCCTGGCCGGCCTGGCCTCAGGTCATCGGAGACCTGGACGCGTGGCTCCAGCAGTTGCACATTGAGGAAGCCGATGCGGAACAGCACAAACACTTCCAGGCGCCAGTGCCGAGACGTGGCGGAGACGAGGCGGTTGGTTCACAGGCGGTTCACCTGAGGCTTGACCTGTTGGGAGTTAGCTGAAAGGATACTCTTTATCACTTTATCCAGCACTGCATGCATATTGCCCCCTCCCTTTTACAGGAGGCAAGATGGTCTTTCAAGTGGCCGCTTTCCACTGCCACGATTGTTCAAGGGATGACCCATGAGACCTGATGCTTGACGTAGCTAAGAAGAGGGTGAGAACAGGAGAACCCTGGAACCCAGGATATTCTAGGCCTATTCTGCAAAGGAGCGAATTTGACCATGGCACCAGGCAGTGAAACGTCGGAGGAAGATGAATCGACGATGTTCGGCGTGCCGAGACATGCTGAGTTCACGGCGCACTGAGTGCTATAGACATGCCATGCATTGCCATGCCCTTTAAGGGATGCTTTGGTGGTACCATGAATAGCTGGATTTCAGTGGGCAAGCACATGAAAGAACCCGTATGCCTTCTCGGTTTTCCACCCACCACCTGTTGGGTCTTTTCCGTCAACCGGGCCAACCACCTATATAAATAAATCTACTTAAGGGTCCTCCAGTCAGTGCAGCTCCACCACTGGGGCAGGAGCTGGCAGCGGAATTTCAAGAGCTCTTGACCGCGGACGAGGCGCCCGGTGTGGATATCACAGGACGTGGACGTGGACGTGGCGAGTGGGAGAAAAAAGCTTCTTTCTGCGTTGATTTGTTGCTCAAGTGATTTGTGGAGAGAGATTCTTGTTCCAAAACTTATCACTTGGATTGCTTTTTCTTAGATGTCACCAGCAGCCTCCACTGCTTCGCGGCCCAAGGCCTCTGAGGAGCAGCTGGTTTCGCGTGTTTGTGCAGCCACCACCAGCTTTCAAGAGCTGAAGGCGCGCCACCAGCCTCAGCTGTTTTTCCGCTCAGCTTTCAAATGGGTGCCGGGGCTGCTGGGGGGGGGTCGTTCCAGCGTCCTGACACCAGCGTCCTGGGACGGATGTTTTCGCCGTTTTCACATGTTGGATGGTTCACTTAGGTAACTGGTGGAACTGGTGGTTTAACTGGTGACCATGCAGAAATGGTTTCAGTATGTTTCAGTCAGATTTAGTCCGCCTCAACTGGCCGCCGGGTGCCACACCACAGTCTCGCAGGTCTTGTGTCGTGTGCGAGCAGATGAGCTGCTGCAGGACTATGCCCTGCGCAGAGCCACCGGGGCACGTGTGCCGCAGACCAGGGATCAAAGGAAACAGATGAGAAAACAAAAAAAGGAGGTGAACACAGATTGTTTTTCCCCACATCTTAGTGTGGGGTTCTTCTTTTCTATGTCTCATCCCGCTTCTCCCGCTTCTCCCGCT